GGTAACAGTGCAGGTGACAGGTGGTGTATTGGTGGTGAACAATGCAGGTGACAGGTGGTATTGGTGGTGTAACAGGTGACAGGTGGTGTATTGGTGGTGGTACAGTGCAGGTGACAGGTGGTGTATTGGTGGTGGTAACAGCAGGTGACAGGTGGTGTGGTGGTGACAGTGCAGGTGACAGGTGGAGTATTGGTGGTGGTAACAGTGCAGGTGAGAGGTGGTGTATTGGCGGTGGTAACAGGTGACAGGTATTGGTGGTGGGTAACAGTGCAGGTGAGAGGTGGTGTATTGGTGGTACAGTGCAGGTGAGAGGTGGTGTATTGGTGGTGGTAACAGCAGGAGAGGTGGTGTATTGGTGGTAACAGCAGGTGAGAGGTGGTGATTGGTGGTGGTAACAGTGCAGGTGACAGGTGGAGTATTGGTGGTGGTAACAGTGCAGGTGAGAGGTGGTGTATTGGTGGTGGTAACAGTGCAGGTGACAGGTGATGTATTGGTGGTGGTAACAGTGCAGGTGACAGGTGTATTGGTGGTGGTAACAGTGCAGGTGAGAGGTGGTGTATTGGGTGGTAACAGTGCAGGTGAGAGGTGGTGTGGTGGTAACAATGCAGGTGAGAGGTGTAGAGGTAAAACACACACACACACACATGAAGCAATCAAGTGCGTGTATGTGAGCACCCGGAGTAACTTGGTATTTACGTCACTGTTGTTGAGGCGGTGGGGAGGGGGTGGAGGAGGGACGTGGGGGTGAGAAGAGTGAGGGGAGAGAGAGGAGGAGGGGAGAGAGTGAGGGATAGAGAGAGAGGGTGAGAAGGGAGAGGGGTGAGAGGGGTGAGAAGGAGAGGCGGGTGAGAGGAGAGAGGGGAAAGGAGGGTGGTGGCGGGCAGTGGAACAGACACTAGCAACAGGAGGACATGAGGAAGGTTGTACTGTATGCTGCTGGCCGAGGCTGACGGTGTCGAGTTGAATCATCGCCAGTTTTAAGTCGTCAAAATGGGGCTCAGTCCTAATAGACCCCTCCCTGGCCTTGATAGGGTCTCAGTCATATAGAACCAAACTTAACCATTAGATTAGACCACAATAAGATAGGTGTTTATAAAGACTCGGGCCGTCAAAGGTAAACATTAAGAGCAACAGATAACCGATACAATAGTTTCTAAAGGTTTCAAGAATCGCAATGCCTGAACGAGTGAGTGATTTAACCCCAATAAGACACACGCATACACTTTATATCCAACAGAACACATGTTTAAAACCTCAACCTTCTTCTACAAGGATTTCCAGAACAGCATTGGAGAAAAAACCCACAGCCAAGGAAATAAACAAACCAACGAACCAAAATATACCCTAAGTTTACGGTTGAAGGGAACTAACACAGGGAACGAAACCAACAGGGTGACACTATCCCTCCATCCTACGTGGTCTATCCTCATCCTCAACGCCCCGGGGTAAACAACTCAGGATAGGAGGCATTATCCCCTAGCCTCGACGTCTACGGGAAAATCGACTCTGCTGGTGAGGGATAAGTTGGTCAAATCTCTGGCGGCGTGTAATGGGTCTTGGGTGGCTTTCTGCGGCGGCGCATGTGTGGGCAGGCGCGGGCGCATGAGCCTAAACAAGTTGACAGTGTAATTTGATAGTCCAGGGGAGAGCTGACAGCCTCTATAGTGCGAGAAGCAGGGCGAGAGATATAGAGAGTGATGCAGTGAGTAGGTGGGTGGTCAGGAGGGATGGTGGTTGTGGTAGGTGGGTGGTCAGAAGGGATGGTGGTTGTAGGTGGGTGGTCAGAAGGGATGGTGGTTGTGGTTGGTGGGTGGTCAGAAGGGATGGTGGTTGTGGTAGGTGGGTGGCAGGAAGGGTGGTTGTAATAGGTGGGTGGTCAGGAAGGATGGTGGTTGTGGTAAGTGGGTGGTCAGAATGTATGGTTGTTGTGGTAGGTGGGTGGTCAGAAGGATGGTGGTTGTGACAGGTGGGTAGATATGACAGACAGAGAGGCAGGTAGGCAGATATCTACCAACTCAAACAATGAGAAAGAGAATTCATAAAAAACGGACCCTATTGTACCGTAAACTTGGCTAAACCACAGACAAGTATAGAGAATGACCCCAAGAATTGCCCTTGACGCACGGAGGGTGTTTGAACTCCCTGACCTGACGCTAAGAATTGTTATTCTCCCTCTCTCGTTCTTCCGATGGAGATATTGGATCTCTAACCCCCCGATGACCCCAGTGGAAGAGGCAGTCCTTGTGAGACAAGAGGTGAGGCAGGAACATGTGGTAAGCGTGCGTGTGATTGTATTACTAAGGAGAGAGAGAGAGAGAGAGAGAGAGAGAGAGAGAGAGAGAGAGAGAGAGAGAGAGAGAGAGAGAGAGAGAGAGAGAGAGAGAGAGAGAGAGAGAGAGAGACTGTGTGTGGTTCACCTTCAACACCATCATTACAAAATCAGTTACTAATGAGTCCGTCTTTTTCTTCCATTTACTTATTTATTAATTTTTTATTATCATTATTACTATTATCTACATAAGGTATCCTCTTAGGCTTTGTCGTTATTTTTATGATGACTTCCATTATTTATATTCCGATTAATATCATCATCATCATTATTACAGAGACATCAGTGCTGTAACGTGAGCCGTGCCTAACCCGTCGCTGTTTCCGGGTTACAATGAGTAGGAAACACCTGTGACTATTATGACTTCATTACAGTGTTTGGGATTATGATCAAGAGGTAAATGTGGTATATGTTTGTGTCTAGTCAATAGGTGTTTATGAGCTGAGGAATAATATGCTGTTTGGTTACACAGAGACACAATCATTACTGCTCTCTCTCTCCAACACAATGCACTCCCCAATCCTCCTCCTCTTCCAAACAATCAACTCCCCACTCGCCCGTGATTCGCCATTCATCAAGTCCGGATCCTATACAATGCGCTCTCTCTCTCTCTCTCTCATCTGATCCAAATGTTGAGGACTTGGTCGCTTACCTATCCACTCTCTACCCATCTTGTTTATTTATCTCCTTCTTACCTATCCTCTGCTCGTCTATCTGTCTCTCTATCTATCAGCTGTGTGTCTATTCATCCGCCTGCTGTCTATCACCTCCGTATTGTAACTATCCAGCCCGTCTATCCATTGTCTATCTCAATGTTTACCTAAAGAAGACTGAGAAGCCATACAATAGCTAGTCCCCCTCCCTCCCTCCTCTCTTACCACACCTCTACCCTCCTTTCTCTCCTCCTTAACCTCTCCTTCCTCAGCCCACCTCTCGACCTCTTCTTCAGCCCACTCTCACCTCAGAACCCACATCTCTTCAAGCTCTTTTCCCATCACCACAACCCCTCTGTCCTCCCTCTCCATCACAACCCCAACTCATCTCCCTCCTTACACACACACAACAATACTCTCTCTCTCGCCTCCAGTATTGACAAACCTTTTAAGTGTTGTAGGTTAAAAAAATATATATCGTTTTAAGATCCCTCCCCCCACAGCCTCTGACAACACATTGTGAGTACTTTAACGCTCCTCTTTGATTTTTCTCTAACGAGCTCCTCTCATCTTTGTTTCACGTCATTCTGATCTTTATCACTTGCCCTTTCCTCACATTTTTTATTTTAATTTTCGAGTTTGTTTACATTCATAAGTCTTGACTGACTGATTACAGGTACATGAGAATAATACCTTAAAACATTCTCACATTGTCCCGGTGTCAAATTTCTCCACCATAGTGATTTCGACGACAGGATTTCTCAGTTCATGGTGTCCTAAGCTATTTGGAGAAACCTGGAGGCGTTCTCACATCTCCTCTCACGGTGGGATAAAACACAAAACAAAAATATATGGTTAAGAACATCAGAGAATTCATCTTTTCTACCTTAAGTTAATTTTGATAGATGTGGACGCATTCTCACATCTATTAAGAGAAAGATGAAATGTAACGAAAGAATATAATGAGAATCAATCTTTGTGTCGCATCGTAAGTGAGTCAGGTGGTTCTCACTTTATCCAGTTATTAAAAAAAATAATAAAAAAATAAAAATTTATAAACACTTCGAGCATCCGGGCCGGGTCCACTACACAGCCACGCCCACCTCCTCCTCCCTCCTCGAGTTTCAGCGGAGGGTCACGCGGAAGTAACTATGGATCACGAATATACCAGGAACCATGCAGGAGGGGGGGCAAGGGCATTTTGACACCTAGGGTTGTTTGCGAGGTGGCTGGGGCAGGAGGGGGGGAGGGAGGGAACTTGGAAGGTGCAGGAAGATATTCTGAGAAAAGGGATGGGTGGAGAGGGGAGGTAGGGAGGGAAGAGAAAGGGCGCTGAGGGAAGGAGAGAGAGAGGAACAAAGGAAGGAGGGATGTGGAGGGAAGACGACATAGAGGTGTGTGTGTGTGTGTGTGTGTGCAGGTGGCGGCTTACACACCTGTTATCTGTATATCAGCGGGTGTATGGGGAGGGTGCAGTGGTTGTGGTGCTCCCTGACACACACACACACACACACACACACACACACACACACACACACACACACACACACACACACACACACACCCACCAGAGACGCCTCAACACGGTACACAACAACATAATAATAATAATAATAACTGACCAGTAGAATAAATCAACATTAATTTCTCACATTCTCTCTTACATCTAAACCACCCAACTCTCTCTCTCTCTCTCTCTCTCTCTCTCCCATCATCATCCACCTACCCTCTGTCCTCTACGGGTAAGAAATAGAAGAGATGGCCGCCATGGTTGGGTTGGGGAGTCGTAGGTCGAATCATTAGGTGGTGGCGGCTGACTCCTCCTAGTGGTGGTGATGGAAGACGGTGGTGGTTCAGTCGTGTCTTGTGTGGTTTGTATCATTTGTGTAAGGTGAGGTCTATGTTCCTCTGGTCATGTTTACATCTGCTGGGCATTGTACTGTAGCAGGTGTTCACGAAGTCATTAAACACCACACCGTCTCGTAGGTAGATTATTTTTTTTCGTTTTTTTTTATTTATATTTACTCTCAGGCGTAATTTAACGTATAAGTGTTAAGTGTAAGTCATCTTCGATCATCTGTGTTCAATAAGACACTTTCATCACTACGTGCACTTATAAACTTGACACTACATACACTTATAAACCAACGTACACTTGTAAAACCATCACTACGGTCACTTAGAAACACCAGATGTTTAGTATAAGTAAATATTGTTCATGGTAATAGTCCGCACTGACACCCTAACGCTACCTTGGGGGAGGTGGAGGGGCTAGGTTGGTTAGGGTTAAGTTAGGTTAGTGTTAGGGTGTTTAATGATGACCTGGAAATAAGCTGAGGTATCTACTCTTCGGGTGAAATAAGCTGTACCTAATCTTCAGGTGAAATAAGCTTAAGTGTCTAATCTTCAGTGAAATAAGTTGCAGTTCTAATCTTCAGGTGAAATAAGCTGGGATCTCTAATCCTCAGGTGAAATAAGCTAGCTCTAATTCGGTGTGTAAGTTGAAGTGTCTAATCTTCAAGTAGCTGTTGATCTCTAATCCTCAGGTGAAATAAGTTGTGGCTCTAATCTTCAGGTGAAATAAGTTGCAGTGTCTAATCTTCAGGTGAAATAAGCTGATCTCTAACTCAGGTAAAATAAGTTGGGGTCTAATCTTCAGGTGAAATAAGTTGAAGTGTCTAAATCTTCAGGTAATCAATATTTTTTCTCCCATAATACTACTTTTAATTAGATATCTCCTACCTGGTGCTAAAATAAACGTAACCATGTATATATTTAAACGTACAGTACAGTCTCAGGATATTTTCGGTGCCATTATTGGGATTGTCTTTATTTTTAGCTCAACACAAAGACACAATTAAGCGTATGTTATATTTCGTTTAAGAGGGATACTAATATTACGCATCTTTGTGAATCCCGACGAAGGTGAGGACTAATGAGCCAACTTCAGATGTTCTCCCTCACACACACACACACACACACACGGAAGGGGCGGTGACGACTGAGCAGAGGGGAGAAATGACATCGGGGGAGGAGGGGAGGGGAGAGAGAGGGGGAGAGGGGAGAGGAGAGGGAGGGAGGGGAGGAGAGGTAAAAAGGGAGGAAGAGGGGAGGGAGGGGGGGAGGGGGAGGGGAGGGAGGGAGAGGGAAGAGGGGAGGGAAGAGGGGAGGGAGGGGGAGGGGAGGGAGGGAGGGGGAGGGGGAGGAGGGAAGGAGGGGGAGGGAGGAGGGGAGGGGAGAGGGGAAGGGAGGGAGGGGAGGGAGGGGGAGGAGGAAGGGAGGGGAGAGGAAGGGAGGGAGGGAGGGAAGGGGAGTAAAAAGAGAAAAAGGAGGGGAAGGTAAAGAGGGAAAAGAAGGCAAGAGAGGGTAAAAGGAAAGGAGGAAGGGAAGATAAGAGATGGTGAAACAAGGGGAGATAAGAGGGAGATGAAAGGAAGAGGAGGAGATAAAGAAAGAACAGGAAACTGAAGGAGGAGGGAAATGGAAAGAGAGAGGAGGAGGAGGAGGAGGAGAGAAGAGAGAGAAGATTGAAAATGTTTTAGGGAGGTAGATGAAAGAGAGGGAAGGGGAGGTAAGAGAAAGGGGAGAAGAGGGAAAGTAAGAGAAAGCAAAGGAGAGATAGGAGAGAGGAAAATAGGGGTGGTAAGAGGAGGGAGAGAGAAAGGAGGGGAAAGGAGGGAAGGTGAGAGGAGAGATGAAATAAAGTGAGAGAGGGGAAAAGAGGGGAGGTGGGAGGAATGAATGACCAACACCCTGGAACGTTAAGGGGAAGTGTTCAGATCCAGGCCAGCCATTAACCCAATAACGTGACCTGGAAATAGACCATTATTGTTCCCCTCAGGCAGCCACTCCCAGGCAGCCACCTTCCCCAGGCAGCCACTCCTTCCCTCAGGCATCCACTCCTTCCCTCAGGCATCCCTCCTTCCCCCAGGCAGCCACTCCTTCCCCCAGGCAGCCCTCCCTTCCCCTCAGGCATCCCTCCTTCCCCTCAGGCAGCCCTCCTTCCCCCCAGGCAGCCCTCCTTCCCCCCAGGCAGCCCTCCTTCCCCCCAGGCAGCCCCCCCCCAGCAGCCCTCCTTCCCTCAGGCATCCCTCCTTCCCCTCAGGCACCCTCCTTCCCTCAGGCATCCCTCCCCTTCCCCTCGGCAGCCCTCCTTCCCTCATCTCCCTCCTCCTCATTCCCCTTCTCTCACACACTAGCTCCCTCACCCCCCCACTACCAGGATCTCATTTTATGGTCGTGAATTCTCTCACCCAATTTTTCTTCATCTCTCTTCTATCTCCCATACGTCATTTATCCCCGTCTTTCCCCTCTCACCAAATCTGTTTCTCGTTTTTCCTGTTTCCTTCATTTGATTATTTCCTCCATTTCATTCTTTTATCAATTTTCTTTTCTTTTTTTCTTCGATGCAATTTTTTTTCTTTTCTTTCTTTATCAGGTTCCCTCCTTTCCGAAGATTATCTCTCTCTCTCTCTCATCATCTCCTTTCATGTTTCTGCTAGTTACCTGCACCTCTTCCTCCTCCTTCTGTGTATGTATTATTTCCCATGTATTTGTACCTGAATCTGTAATGTTGTTGTACCGGGTATCTGTACTTGTAGGTGTATCGATAACTGTATGATTTGTTCTGTAACTGTACCTGTCTCAAGTTATCTTTACCTGTACTTGATCTAATAACTATACCGGTAACTGTAACATTGTTTTACCTGTGTTGTGATTGTACCTGTCCTAGCTCTTGTACACACACACACACACACACACACACACACACACACACACTGAGCATCACACAAATATTGAAATTCTACTCAGATGACGAAAAATTGTCTGGTCACGTATCCGTTCTGGGGACAGTGGGGGGAGGATGGAAGGAAGGAGAGGAGGAGAGATTGGGGGAGAGAGTAGAGGAGAGAACATGACAGAAAGGAGGAGAGCAGAGAGGGGAAGGTGTGGAGGTGGGGGAGAGGAAGAGGGGGGAGGGAAGAGGGGGCAGAAGGGACGGGGAGAGGACACTTGCATCGCAATTTGTTGGCAGTCGCGCCGGTTTGTGGACACGCAGGAGGAATAAGGAGGAGAATAAGAAGGAGGAATAAAGGGAAGGATGAAGGAGAAGGAGGAAAAGACAAAATGAAGAAGAAGGTGGAAAAAAAGTAGGTGAAAAAGGAGGGCAGGGGAGAAAGGGAGGGAAGAATAAAGAGGAGAAAAGACGCAAAAATAACGAAGACAAAAAAGAAGTAAATGAAATGACAAGATAAATGAGAGAGGGAGGGAGGAGGGAGAAGGAGAGGGAGAGAGGGGGAGGAGAAAGAGACGAATGATAACGAAAAAAGAAAGACAGAAAGAACGGAAGAATCAGCAGGTAAATGGAAGAGTGAAAAATAAGAACATTATAAAAAACGGAAGAGAAGAAAGAGAATAAAAGAGGAAGAGGAAGAAGGAAGAGGAGGAAGAAAACGAAGAAGGAAGAGAAGGAAAAAGACGAAGAAGGAAGAGGAGGAAAAAGACGAAGAAGGAAGAGGAGGAAAAAGACAAATGAGACAGATTCGTCTGTCTGAGGCAACAAGACCACCTGGAGCTGCCTGGACAAATATACCACTGGACAAATATGCCATTGGACAATAATTATACCACTGGACAAATATACCATTGGACAAATACACCATTGGACAAATATACCATTGGACAAATATACCACTGGACAATAATTATACCACTGAACAAAAATCATATCACTGGACAAATATACCACTGGACAAATATACCACTGGACAATAATTATACCATTGGACAAATATACCACCGGACAACAATTATACCACTGGACAATAATTATATCACTGGACAATAATTATACCATTAGACAAATATACCACTGGACAAATATACCACTGGACAAATATACCACTGGACAAATATACCACTGGACAAATATACCACTGGACAAATATTCCATTGGACAAATATATCATTGGGAATATATATACATCACTAGGTGTGCATGTGTGTATGTATGTGAGTATGTATGTGTGCATGTGTAAAACCAATCAACACAAAAGATAAACAAAGAAAACAATGAAAAAATAGAACAAACAAACAACAACAAACAAAATGATCCAGATGACAAATAAATACAAATAAAGTTTCATACGAGTAAAAATATTTATTGAAAAAAAAATTATTGGAGAAAAAAATTGTCACTTTATGGTCTTTCCTTAAGCTGAGATATTTTCCCCAAAGCTGTTTTTTTTCCCTTAAAATTTTCCCTGCCTCGTCAGCTGTTGAAGGAAGTATTTCCCCGCCGCTCATAATTAATATAACATCTACAGCCTACACGTACACACACACACGTACACACACACACTTCTATTCCCCGTTTCCTCTATTTCCTGGTTTATTGCCTCTTCCCTTTTCTCTCTCTTTCTCTGGTCATGAACGTGTATCTACCTACACTCACTTCACTACGTTTATCCTCTCTCTCACTCTCTCTCCATGGTCATCACACCACGTTTATTCCCCGTTCTCCTTTACCTTCACACTCCATCTAATTATCCACCTTAAACTCACATCTTTAAACTTCATTTTCACTAATTCCTTATTCTATTTTGTTCTTCTCATTCCATTCGTCCACCTCCACACATTCCATAAATATCTATTCCATTATTCATTCTCTCCATTTTCTCTTTTATTGCCTCTCCCTCTACCTTTTCCTCTTCTTCCACACCTCCCATAAGTCTCCACTGCGCCACGCCCCTTTCCTCCTCCCTCTCTTATTTCCTTTCATTTCCTCCTTTATCTCCCCCCTTCTTCTTCCTCCTCAACCTCCCTTCTTTAATCCCCTTCTTCTTCCTATCGATCGAGGTTTATCACTGTTTTGCTTTAACTCCTCTTTTATCATCTATTTCTTCTCACACGTCAGTTAATTCCCTCTTTCTTTATTACTTTCTTTCGTATTTTACCTATTTTGTTATACTCTTCACACTATCTTCGTAACAATCAAATAATTGTTATACTTCTTCCCTATCGCCGTGTTTATCATTCTATGTTTATTACCCTCTTCACTCTGTTTTTGCACCATATTTTATTAGACTTTTTCTTTTATTTCCCATCTTCGTAATCAACCACAAAAACACGCCTTAAAAAAAAATAATAATCTTCTCATTTTAGAACCTTCTCGAACACTTTCCTTCTGTCGGGATTACTCTTTCTATAACACTTATCACCACTACTTAAAAACTTGTACACTTTATACGACACGATTTAAGTGTTTTGTGTTTCTCATCATATTTATCTGTGATGGAAACTTATTTAAAAAAATGTGTCACAGGCAGTGGGAAGGAGAACGATTAAGATGTTGACTCACCTGAAGATTAAGCATCACCCCATAGTTTATTTCACCTGATGATTGATCACCCTAACGCTACCCGGAGAGGTTTGGTTAAGGTAGGGTAGGTTAGTGTTCAGGTGTTTCAGCTCGGGTGGGTGCCTAATCTTCAGGTGATCCAACGTATAATTACTTCAACGCAGGTAAAATCCGGTTCCTCAGTACCTATGATTCACTCGTCACCTGCTATCATCTCATTACATCATATCACAAGATTCACGGTCACTAAACCCACACTTAAAACCTTTCCTGTTTATTTTTCAGTCCAAATATTTCTTCAACTGGTAATTTCCTGGTTTATGAAATACAGGTAAGTTAATTAACACAAATCTTTAATTTTCTCAGTGTTGAATCATTTTATAATGTTCCGGCATCACAGAAGACAAATTGTTGCTCTCATCAGATGGTTATGAGTCACGTGACCACCACTACAGTATTGGGAGCACTGCACGCCGCCACAGGTCGACCACCACAGTAAACACACCAAGACTCTACCTCTCGTACCACACACACGCTTTCCTTCCTTGTAGTGGTGTGTGTGTGTTGGTGGTCGGTGGGAGTGTCACTAGTGCACTGAGGGCTGTGTGAGTGTGTGAGAGAGTGTGTGTATGTGTATGTGTGTGTGTGTGTGTGTATGTGTGTGTGCCGGGCGAGGTGGCTGTGTGCGCGCCGGCCTGCCCGCCTGCCTGGCTGGCTAGCTGGCTGGGTCCCACCTCCCGGAGTAACTGGCTCTCTGTGGGAGGAAGCCCACTCCACTCTCCCACAACCATCATTGATATTTACACGCTCAGAAATGCATTTCCTACAGCAACACAGTGACGTTATTAATGACACTTCCTCCCCGTGTCTGGTAAGGAAGGTAGGAAGTGAATCTGTGTCGTGGAGACAAAATCGATCGATAATCTTGACAAAATAGACCTCTGGCAGCCCTAGACACGGGCACACTCTCTGCCTACCTTGATGGCAGAGCATTTTAGGCCCAGGTTTCTCACTCCCGTAAGTTTGTTTCATGCTGTTTCGTGCTTGGAGCAGCGCTCACGAATGACAACATTAGCTGCAAGAGATTCTCCAGTTTCCAATGTCATAATTATCGCCCGCAGGATTGTGTTCGATTGGAAAATGAGACTACGATCACCTTACAACTGGTGCTTTGATCATTACTGAGTTCAACAACACCACCAGCGTGTGAATCTTAGAAGCTGTGGACGGCCCGTGGGAGGCGACACTTGGCCAGGGGTGGGGCAAGGCTCAACTACCCGCCGCCGCTACCAAAATGTAACCACACTCCCTACCTGCCTGAGGCCCTCCGCTTATCCCTCAACAGGTCACAAACACTTATACACTATCCTGATGATACTCCCTCACCTCACCTCACCACCACCAGCTATTACCTGTCTCTCAGTTTTTAAATCTTTCCATTTACCAAAGCCAGATTTTAAAAAGTAATTCACGAAAGATTTCAAGTAAACACCTGAAGATTAGGCACCCTAACTTATTTCAACTGATGAGTAGACACCATAACGTCAACCTAACACAACGTAGCGTTAACTACCCCCCACCCTACAGGTAGTGTTAGGGTGTTTAATTATCAGAGGGAAATCAAGTAGGGTGTCTAATCTTCAGGTCATCCGTTTTAAGCATATACAAAATCACATGTAAAGTATAACATCAGCTTCACCATGTCACCACCCCATTACACTCACAACTATGCATCTAAACTTGAATCTCTTGAATCTGTTAAGACACCGCCAATATCAATTTGTCAACACATAAAAATTCTTATACCTGTAGAATAAATCTGTACTAATCCTTTTAAATCTGTTCATTCACTCTATTTATAATCATCTAGCGAAAATTACTTTAAGCACACTTTTGTACTTAATGCACACTTATATACTTATGTGTCGCAACCAACTGCCTGGACGAGATCTTTATAAAGTGTTGACACAATGAGAGGATGTGTCAGTGTAAGTCCTTGACGCTTCCTTCAATTGTTGCTGTCTTGCCTCACCCTTATCCTCCCCGTCACCCCCTCCCCGTCATCCCCCATCTATCCTCCCCGTCACCCCCTCCCGTCATCCCCCATCTATCCTCCCCGTCACCTCCTCCCGTCAATTCTTCAACATATCCTGTCACATCCTCCCGTCACCACCACAAAAGACAGGATGAATCATGACCATTTTAGCACCTACAGGAAGGGGAGGGGAATAGGGAGAGGGGAACAGGGAGAGGGATAGGGTGAGGAAGAGAGGGGAGGCGAGGGGGGAGAAAGGGTGAAGGGAGTAGAGGGAGGGAGAGGGTAAGGAGTTAAAGGGAGTAGAGGGAGGGAGAAGCGAGGAGTAAAGGGAGAAGAGGGGAGAGAAAGGGTGAGGGGTTAACGGGTAGAGAAAGGGTGAGGGGTGAGGTGACAGCTGGGCGACCCTCCTCCCGTATGGTGCACATCGTCAGAGGTGTCTGGAGGGTGAGTAACGGTGTGGGAATGTGGGTCTTCTCTGGTCGGGCTGACTGGCTGTTTGACTGGCTGACTGGCTGTTTGGCTGGCTGACTGGCTGTGTATATGGCTGACTGGTTGGCTGACTGGCTGTATATATGGCTGGCTGACTGTGACTGTATATATATGGCTGTTTATCTGACTGTCTGGCGGCCCCAACTTCGTCAGGTCGTCATTAGTGTTGCTCTCTCTCTCTCTCTCTCTCTCTCTCTCTCTCTCTCTCTCTCTCTCTCTAATACATGTAAATAAAAACAAGACAAAGACAAAACAAAGAAGACGATGAAGAATAGGAACCAAAAAAAAAGGAAAACATGAACACAACAAAAATTATTAAAAAAATAAAAGAAAATACAAAACAAATAAAGAACTTAAAAGGGAAATAAAATAGACAAAAATAAAGACAAAGAAGAATAAAAGTAGAGAAAAAGATAAAAAAATCCCAATAAAGGAGAAAAAGGGGAGGAGGAAGAAAGGGGAGTAGGGAGATGGGGAAGGAGAAGAAGGGGAGGAACTAACATCAGGAATGTAAAGGGGGGTGGGAGTAATGGTGGGGGTAGGGGGTTAGTAGTAGTGGTTAGGGGGAAGGGGGGGGTGTTGTATTATGCACGAGGCCAAGCACCTGTTTATGCTAATGACTCCCAGGTAAATGGTGTCTAACTAACTGCCAGGTGAGGGTCGTTGGCTGAGTGAGGGAGGGAGGGTATTAAGGGATTCTATGGGGTGGTATTAAGGGGGGTTCTAAAGGGTGGATAATAGTAAAGGGGACGAGGAAGATGTGAAGATGACACACACACACACACAGTACACATGGCTAGGACGAAAGTCTGGCGGTCAGGGCGGCGACGGCGGTGCGGGCGACGGAGAGGCGACCCAGACGAAAGTAAATGGAGCAAAGCGGAAACGACAACAAACAGGGCGGGCAGAGGCGCTATTAATGCCTGTCGTCACTCCCCGTCACTTATTATATTTACCGTCACACACACACACCAGCCGTCACTCCCCGTCACTTATTATATTTACCGTCACACACACACACCAGCATCCCCGTCACTTATTATATTTACCGTCACACAGCCTTCCTCCGTCACTTATTATATTTACCGTCACACACACACCAGCCGTCACTCCCCGTCACTTATTATATTTACCGTCACACACACACCAGCCGTCACTCCCCGTCACTTACTATATTTACCGTCACACACACACCAGCCGTCACTCCCCGTCACTTACTATATTTACCGTCACACACACCAACCGTCACTCCCGTCACTTACTATATTTACCGTCACACACACACCAGCCATCACTCCCCGTCACTTACTATGTTACCGTCACACACACCTGTAAATCACTCCCCGTCATACTATATTTGCAAGTCACACACACACCAGCAAATCATCAATCACTTACTATGTTACCGTCACACACCTGCAACCGTCACTCCCGTCATACTATGTTGCAAACACACACCACACACACACACACACACACACACTCGTCTCTAGTAACAGTTAGGTCAAATATTAGCCGTTAGGGGAGATAATGGTAGGTGAAAGTCGGAGTGAGTGTGGCAGATCAGGTGGTGTGGTAGATGAATCAGGTGAGGTGTGGTAGGTGAGCCAGGTGAGTGTGGTAGGTGAGGTCAGGTGAGTGTGGTAGGCGAGGTCAGGTGAGTGTGGTAGGTGAGGTCAGGTGAGTGTGGTAGGCGAGGTCAGGTGAGTGTGGTAGATGAGGCCAGGTGAGTGTGGTAGGTGAGGTCAGGTGAGTGTGGTAGGCGAGGTCAGGTGAGTGTGGTAGGTGAGGCCAGGTGAGGACCAATATACTGTACCTGTTCTATCTCATTTCATCTTAGTCTTTTGTGATTCGGGTCTCCCACCACCATCACTCATCCACCACCATCACTCATCCACCACCATCACCCATCCACCACCATCACCCATCCACCACCATCACCCATCCACCACCACCACTCTCCCACCACAGCCACCCTACGCTCATCATCAACACCGCTACATCACCACTATCACACTACTACCAAGGCCACATCACCACTACCACACCAAGGCCACATCCCCACCACAATACACATCTGCCACACTCGCCGGAACACCTTGGGGGTCCTCAATTACCAGAGAATGGCCGGAAATTGGTTGCCTGCAGATTTTTGTTGAGAGGAAACCCAACCCGGCCACGAGAGCCTCCCGTGGTGCTGTCTCCTCACCTGGCCATGACTGTGTCTGGAGCTAGTAGAGGGAGATAGATAAATAGATAGATAGATAGATAGATAGATAGATAGATAGACAGATTATTAGATTGATTGAGATACATAGATAGAAACAGACAGATAAATAGACAGGCAGCCTGACAGTGGGTCAACTTGTGAAGGTACACAATGTTAACAGCACCAGCGGGAGTTACAAGAAGCCATTGAAGAAGACAGGAGGATAATGTAACAATAATAAGATCTTAACAATTTGGTTGATACCTAACCTAACCTGACCTGACTGAACCTAACCTAACCTAACCTAACCTGACTGAACCTAACCTGACCTGACTTAACCTAACCTGAACCTATCTTAACCTAACCTAACCACTTAGTGTCGAGAATGAAAAGGAACAAAAGTAAGTATAGGAGACAGGTGGTGTTACTAGGACGTGGTGTGCTAGTTCAGTGCAGGTATGGTAAGCCTGCAGCTGGCTCGTGGTGGTGGTCAGTGCCAGCTGGCCACCACACACGGGCCAGTAGTGTAACCGAACCACTTGAATACCCCCCCCCCCATCCCACTTTATTTCACCTGATGATTAAACATTCTAACACTATCTGATGGGGTTTGGTTAGGTTAGGTTTGGTTAGCGTTAAGTTAGGGTGTTTGATCATCAGGGGAAATAAGGTACAGTGCCTATTTCAGGTGATCCGTGTAACCTTAGTACCGGGAAGCTGGCCGAACCCTTGTCTTAACACGACTTCCGCACGCCAATGTCTACCCCGGGGTAAGAACAGGTTGAGTGACCCCGTCCAGTTTACGGTAGAGTCTCAGTGAGAATTTAACACCATTACGATCGCCATCACCGAATCCCCATGTTGTTGTTGTTGTTTTTAATGAGCCAGGTAG